TAATCAAATCCACTGCTTGAAAACATGTTTGTTACATTGATTTACACAAAAATATGTTAATCAAAATTTCTTTTTAAAAGAACATAAGATCTCTACATGGTAGCATTTTTTTTTTTTTTTAGAAACTACTCATTCTTAAAGCAACTTAAAATGCCACAAGAGTATATTAATTTAAAATATACTTTAGACATTTTGCATATTTAGGCTGCTCCCTCCTTCAAAAGCTCAGGTTAACAAAACTACATTTCCTAGACCTAGCTACATATTTTTGAGAAATAAACACAGAAAGAGCCTTGATAATTTAAATTAAATGATAGCAGATATACTTCTACACATACATACACACATACACACCTTTTCTATATGTACTTCTTATTCTGTCACACAATAGTCTTTCAATAAATATTCATTAACTTAAAGAATGAATAATGCATTAATTATGTTGTTTAGTACTTCCAAAAATTATTAAAAATGATAGTAAAACAGGCATCTTCATCTTTTTCTTGACTTTAAAATAAATAATTCTAATGTTTAACCAAGAATCATAGTACAATGTTTTTGAGGTAGATATTTTTTATTCTATTCAGCAATTTCTTGTTTATATTCTATTTAAAATTTTAGAGAAATGAATAATGAACTTTATAAATGCTTAGCAGCATCTATGAAGATAATCAGTTTACTTCTTAGATATTTCAGTATTTTAAATTATCTCATACTTGAACTATTATTTTGATCCCTGAATAGAATTACTTGATTATATTATTGTTATTTGAATATACTGTTAGTCTTAATGCCAATTTTTATATATAATATGTATAATATAATATTACTTATAAATATTTATATTTTTCTTTATATATATTTACATTACTTATAAAGATATTTGAGTTTAATAATAATTATATTTTACATTTAAATTTATAATACTTTTGAAAGTAATCGTAATTTATACTTTTCCCTCTATGAAATGCATGTTCGTCAGATTTGGAGATCAGGGTTATGCTAGTTCAATGGTTGTCAGTTTGGCTGCTTATCAGAATCATTTCCAGTGACTTATTAAAAATACAGATGTTGAGCTGTGGTGGTGGCTCCTCTCTATAATCCCACCCAGTATTTTGAAGGCTGAGGCAGGAGGATCACTAGAGGCCAGGAGTTTGAGGTTACATTGAGCTGTGACCATACCATTGCATTCCAGCCTGGGCAACAGAATGAAACTCTAATGCTTTAAAAAAAAAAAAAAAGTGCTGATATCTGGGCACAATAGAAATTGCTCTTTCAAATTCCTAAGTTTCTGTTTTTAATTTCAATAATACAATACTTTTGCTTTTCTTTTATTCTTTGCTATGTTGGTTGCCCAGTTAACTAGCTTTCATGTTTCCTGCTAAGTAAAGTAAGACTTACATTTTCCTCTATGCACACAACTAGCTGCTTCCCATAATCTCATACTCGTTAGTTTGTTATTAAGTTTTAGCTTTGTTTCACAGGATTCAATAATGTGATTTATGTAGATTCTACTTTTTAGAATTTCACGTGGTTTTCTTTGTAGGATAATATATAGTAGATTTTTGTGAAAATTCAATGAGGATTTAAAAAGGTGAAGTATTGTGATAATATGTTTTAAGGTTTAGCATTCAATGGATAACTATTAAATTAACAATTAATCATTAACAATTACATTGTTAATGTCTTCTATATCATTTATTAATTTAGTTTTGGCTTCTTCATTTTCAGGGATTGGGAGATACCTTATGGTCTCCTATTACCATATCATTTTTTTGTTTTTTGTTGCTTTATTTATGTGGAATGTAAATTGACCCATAAAGGAGTCAAAGCCTCCCTTAATTTCATATTCCACTATTTCTTAGTTGTACTCTAAAATAAGCAGTGGTATATAATCACACATCTTAAGAACAGCATTTGCATGTCTGTACAGTTCTGTCTGAAAATATATCATTTCCAGCTGTATTTTGGGGCTCAGTTTTAACATTTACAGGTACAGGTTTGGTAAATAGTCTTCCTCCGGGAACCTTCCTCCTGGGCTCTTCCTTTGCTGCTCCTTCCACTGATGTGACCTCCCTTTCGAGCCCCTTGGGTGGCTACAGCAGGGAGCTGGGTACTACATACCTGGTGGGACCTATCTTTCTGTTTTTTTTACCCTTTGAAATAATTTTAACTTAATATTGTATAGTTTTAAATTACAGCACATAGTTGAGTTTAGGTTTTTGGCCAAATCTGAGTCTTTGCCTTTTAATAGACAAATCTGTTTTCAGTACATTTTTTTTGGACAAAATATGTCATCTTCTAATCTTTTACTATGTTTTAAATGATTCATTATTATTTTCTATCTTTCCTTTTTTGTTACATGGATTTTATTTTCCTTTTTCATCTAGAGCATTGAAAACTATTTTTAAAAGCTCTGAGAAGTTATTTTTAAGTGATTAAATGTTCATAAACTTGTAGATTCTCAAGAAGCTATTTTGGTTACTAAAAATTGTTGAACTTCTAGCTTTCCAATTTTCCTTGTTAACCCATTTGCACTGTTAAATATTCTCTCTCTTAAGACATATTTCCCAAATGTTACCTGTGTTCATTAGAATAAATGGCTTTCAGAATCACACTACCCCTAATTATTGCATGCCATCTTAAGATTATTATTAATGTTGCAGAATACTTTAAATGTGCCCTCTTTATTTATTCATTTCCTGACTGGTTGCTTATATTTATGTTTCAGTCATTCTGTTTGCCTAAAGTTAGTGTGGGTGGCTTCTCTTTAGGTCTTTCACTATTTCCTTGAAAAATGTTAAAGTCCTCTTCTTAGAACTTGACCTGGAGAGCTAAATGAAATGTGTAAATATTAAAAACTGGGTGATTCAGAAGGATGAGTAGGTGGAGAAAGAACTTGGGCTGAGTTCAGTACCGAACCTTCATTTCTGCCTAGTTTCTTGGGTTTGCTGAACGTGCAGAGTCAGGGACCCATGTTCCAAATCTGGCTTCCCCTGTAAGGGAACCGTTGTCTGTATCAAGCCGCTTTCCTTCAGCCCCTACTGCCTGTGATGGGGCGTGTTCTGTCTCACTGAGCTTGGGGGTTGTTATCAAGAATCTGTCTTCTGCCTGGTCATTAACAACCCTGGTATTGGGTGTCACCAGCACCAGAGGAAATATCCCAAATGGTTACTGACCCTGTGACCCTTTATGGCTGGAGGTACTGCTCCAGTCTCTGCCCCATCTCTAAAAGGGGGCATCACAGGTGACCCAGTCTTTTTAAGTGGCATAAAGCCTCCTGTTCCCTGCCCTTCGTACCGTGTTTACATCTCCAGCACTTATGCCTCAAAATGAAGATAAGATGTTTTTCTTCATTTACTGAATGTTGGGATAAAAAAGGCACGTACTTTGTTCAATGTGAATTATTTGTTGCACAAGTCTGAATATTAAATTGTTTCTAAACCTCTCTGCTAACTGATTATCTAAGAGGGCCATGTGGTTCACAATCCACTAATATAATTGTAAATCCCTTTTAAATCACATTTTTTTCTCCAATTCTTAGACAGGCCTAACTGACCTGGTAAACCTTGCACGTGTCACTGGGAAGAGGAAGTGCTGTAATAGAGAAAACTGACTTAGACCGGAAATTAGGCTGGTTATTTAACTTCCTTGAGTACATACATCACTTAGGTGCCATGATCTCAGACTCCTCCTCCACAAGATGAGAATAACACCACCTGTGCTGCCTTTGTTTGTTTGTCTTTGTTTTCTTTTTTTGAGATGGAGTTTTGCTCATTTTCAGGTTGGAGTGCAATGGCACGATCTTGGCTCACTGCGACCTCCACCTCCCAGGTTCAAGCGATTCTCTTGACTCAGCCTCTCGAGTAGCTGGGATTACAGGCATGTGCCACCATGCCTGGCTAATTTTGTATTTTTAGTAGAGACAGGGTTCTCCATGTTCGTCAGGCTGGTCTCGAACTACTGACCTCAGGTGATCTACCTGCCTCGGCCTTCCAAAGTGTTGGAATTACAGGCATGAGCCACTGTGCCTGGCCAGTTTTTTTTTTAAATTAATGAATACTCTCCCCTCTCTGCTTCCCTGTCTATCCTTATGCCAAGAATTGAAAAGCACTCTATAAGGGCAAGCTTGCATTATTCTTTTTTTTTTTTTTTTTTAGACGGAGTTTCGCTCTTGTGACCCAGGCTGGAGTGCAATGGCACAATCTCGGCTCACCGCAACCTCCGCCTCCTGGGTTCAGGCAATTCTCCTGCCTCAGCCTCCTGAGTAGCTGGGATTACAGGCATGCGCCACCATCCCCAGCTAATTTTTTGTATCTTTAGTAGAGACGGGGTCTCACCATGTTGACCAAGATGGTCTCAATCTCTTGACCTCATGATCCACCCGCCTCGGCCTCCCAAAGTGCTGGGATTACAGGTGTGAGCCACCGCGCCCGGCCGCTTGCATTATTCTTTCTTCCTGAATTGGAATGGATTTCCTTCTCACAGATGTTACTCCTTTGGGTTTGAGGAAGAGAAAAACATTTTAGCTAAAAGGAAAATAAAGAGCAGTCTGCTCATCTGCTTCACCTTGTTCATTCATTCATTTGTTCAGTGCAACATTCCACAAGTCCAATCCCTCTTCTCACAAAGCTTATGTTCTTAGGAGCAGAGACAGGCCATATACAAATACAAATGCAAGATCATTTTAACCAGTGATGAACATCATCAAGAAAAGTGGAAGAAAGGGCAGAAAAAGACCAGGTAGAGGAGGCACAGTGTTGCTATTTTAGATAATATGGGCAGGAAATTTTGTCTATTCTGGAGAATTGACACATGTAATTAATAAACTGCCTGGTTACAGCATAATGCTTGAAATTTCCCAAAATATCTCTTTGTCTTTCTGTATTTTATAACATCTTTTGAAGGCACACAGTCTAAATATGATCTAAATTTGAGAGGCAGACACAAGGAATCTGAGACCTAACCAGAAAAAATTTCAAAACAGTGAATGTACATACCCATTTCATGTCTGGTGCTGGCCACTCCTGTGCCATACACCTCTAAAACATCCTTTATGGTCTTCATAGACTCGTCATACTTGTCTGCGAGACCAAGAAAGTTATAGGAGCCCATGTTGATGACATCTTTGATGATTCTTCCAGTAAACCTGCAGGGAAACATGTAAATGAGCACATAATCCCCTCCCCAGGATTATGCACTATTCAAAAAATCCATGGTGGAAGGTTTGGATTCCTACGAAGGAAAAGAGGATGAGGTGACCAAGGAGATGACAGCTCAGACCCGTGAGGTGGATCCGAGCTGGCAGGAGGTGGTTCAGTCTGTCCTAAAAGTTGGTTTTCCTTGGAGGATCCAGATCCTCTCAGCCAGCGCCGGACCCAGAAGAGAACTCTTCAGCCCCTGGAAGCTGGAAAGGGATGAAGAGCCAAGCAGCTGTCAGCTCACAGCAGCCCTCCAAATTGGACCTGCCACGGTTCCAGAGCTTGACTGGATGGAGACAGGACAATCTCTGATATTCATTGGCCATCAGGATATACCGAGTTGGTAACATCCACTCAGGTGCCACACCTCCCTGGATGATCCAAGATGAAGAATGCATCCCTGGGAACCAACAAATAGGACCATCCTATAAATAACTTCTTAAAGAAAAGGAAAAGGAGAAGTTGAAGAAACTTTCCCCAAATCGAGTTGGGGACAACTTTGATCACAGCTTCAGGACCAGTGCAGGCTGGCTGCCGTCTTTGGGTCTCATTTGAATAATGGATACTGCTGGCAGTCCAGGCATCAGTTCAAAACTAAAGCTGCAGCAGTGAGTCCCTACTGCTCTGCCAACTGCCATGAGGCTAAAAGCAAAGTCAACAAACCCCTACCCACTATGATTCCTTCCACCAAATTCTTTTTCATTGCCTTCCTTAGGAAACAGACATACCCATCCATTTGATTTAATAAAGTTTTATTTTTCCAAGTGTAATAAAAAAAAACTATCCTAGTGCTGAAGTGACCTTAGATCTGGCCCAAATCATATCTTTTCTTTCTTATTAACTAGCACTGTTGTCAGCATAAAGAAAAACAAAGAAAACCTTGTCATTTGAAGCAATTTGGATAGAACTGGAAGCCTTTATATTAAAAGAAATAAGCAAGGCACAGAAGTCAGATATCATATTTTTTAACCATAATGTGGGAGCTAAAAAGGCAGATCTCATGAGAGTAGTTGTTACCAGAGGCTAGAAAAGGTAGGGAGGAGGGAGAGAGAAAGAGAAGTTGACTGACAGGTCCAAAGATACGGTTTGATAGAAGAAATAAAACTCAGATCAGTAGAGTGACTGTGGTTTCAAAATAATGTATGGTCTATTTCAAAATGGCTAGAAGAGAATAATTTAAAAGATTCTAGTATAAAGAAAGACAAATATTTAAGGTGATGGATGCCCCAAGTACATTTATTTGCTCTTTACAATTTATATGAATGTATTAAATTATCACACGTACTCCAAAATAATGTACATCTATTATGCATCAAAAAAGTTGTTAACAACAAAATCATTTTCCCTAAGAGAAAGGGAAGCCCATGATGAAGTTGGGCAGAGCGTTGGAGAAGGACACCTTGAGCCATGGATTGTTACTTAGCCCTGGTTTTCCTGGGCACTCTTTTCTATGACACCTATGCTCTGGTTTAAATTCCAGCAAGAGCCTTCTAATGGAATGAGAGCCATGGTCATCACTGTCTCATTCAGCTGGAAGTAAGAGAGTACAATTTGTCAATAAAGCTGAAAGGGGTCTTCCTGGCTGGCTCTGCGTGTCCTGCACCTTCTGACAGAGGTCTTAGGTTAATTACAATATAAAAAGGCCACTCTGGTAGCTACTTAATTACTGTGCCTTCCTCTAGTGACATTAGGAAGGCTTGCAAATGGCTACATGATACAGAACTGAAGGCTTCCAAGCCTTTGATTTTTCAGATTTGTCATCTAGTGCCCATGCTAGGATATCCTTGAAAGGATTTTCTTTTCACCAAGCCCCTCCAAGCGGCCGCCTCACCTAAATGTCCAGTTATAGTCATCCGACACTCTCTCCATCACATCAAACAGAGGCCCTGGGGCGCTGCAGATGGGCCGGTTCCAGTTGTCTCTGATTCGCATGTAAAGGTTCCGTGTATAAAAATTTTCAAAGTCTTGATACAGTGGCACAAAATCCTGTTAGAACAGAGGTAGAAGGTTATCTTTGGTTCTTTGCCTTTTGAGTTTCATTTGCAATTGAAGCCGGGAAGAAGACCTGGAAGAGCCATGCAAGTAACACATCTGCAGGTATATTTTGAGCAAAGGTCAGTAGGTGAAGTAAATCTGTGAGGCCAAAGAACATGCCTTTTAGTGGGGGAATGAAAACATGTGATGAATAGGGGTAACAAAGATGTCAGTGCAATACAAGCCCCAGAGCAAGCGGAGACAACAAATCCCTACAGTTTCTCTAAGCGTAACGACAGTGTCTATGTCCAGAGCAATTTCATTGGAAGAAAGTGGTTGAGATAATCATGTGTTTTTAAATTGTTTGAACATGAATATATCCTTTCATTGTGTTTTTAGAAGTGGGGATGAACTTGAACTGTTGGACCTGCTGGCAAAACTGTTATTGGGGGGTGGCTGGCTGTTACATGGCCCTGGGCCTGGAAACTGATCAGAGGAGCTCGTGGAGGCAGTGAGCCTTCTCACAGCTGAGGCAACAACACTGAGTTGCTGTGTGGAGTGTAATTCGTGACCGAAGGAATCTGCAGTCTAGCTGAGGCTTCAAGCAAGGCATGTCTAATGTTGTCATTTGACTCTTACAGTTCCCTCTTCCCATTTAGAAAAAAAAGTACAGCTCGCTGCCAGTGCTCATTTAATTTTACATAAATATGCTATTTGAGGCTGAAGGAAATCTGACTGATTTTCAATTTGAAAATAAAATATGCAACCTGTTTTTGGAATTAGCTCTAAACAGAACTAACATCAGAATCATTTGCATCAGAACAATCTATTTCAGAAAAATCAGGTTCATCAAATGAATTTTGACCAACAACTATTCAGGAATGATGCTAACACCATTGCTTAGGAATGCTATGTTTTCTAGGATTTGACATTTTCTGCGATCTGTGGTGTTACTGTATTATGTAAGTAGAAATACCACTACTAAAACCAGGATGCTATAAATAGCATGATGTCTTTTATTTTCAAAGATGATATTCTGGAATGATATGAAAATAATAATACAAACGAGATATTAATAGTTCATGGCAAAGTTTTCTTAGGATAAATACTGCAGCCTCGAGATTCTCCCATGGGTTTGCTTGGGGTAAGCAGGATGAAAGTTAATCCAAGGCAGAAAATGCAGAAGTGGTAACTGTGGTCTAGGCCAGGTACTCTGGACATTCATGGGATTAGAGCAGGAGGGAGAGTCCCCCCCTTGCTGGAGGAATCAGGGAAGCTTTGTGTAGGAGAGTCCTTGGAGATGGGCGCCAAGGCAGAATGCAATTGTTATGTGCAGGGACACCTGGGGAGTTCTCAGAGGAGTAGGTTTGTATGTTGGGAGTGTGGAGTACATTTGGGGGGAATGAATAAGAATAAAATATAATGCATACGCTGTCACTCTTTGCTCAGGACTTATAATGGCTTCTACCTTACTCCTGATTTGAGGTTCCAACTCATATAGCTTCCAGTCACCTTTCTGACCTTGTCCCCTAATGACTCCCTATAGCGTGGGTGAGGCTGCAGTATCAGCTGGGCACAGACAATGGGAACCTTGAGCAACCGAAGTATCTGCAGGAAGAGTTCATCCTTTATGCTTCAGGTAATGAGGGGTCGCTGAATAATTGGGAGTGAGCCTTCTCATTTTCCCTCCTATGCTCGCGGAGCACTTGGCTCTCCTTTGTCTTATTAAATGGAGCTGATTTCCCCAGGGAACAAGAAGACCACGGGGAGTGCCTTTGTGGATGATCTTCTTATGCTACTGCTTTGCCCACTCATTGTGCTGGTTCATTGCAGAAGATAATATAGAGAATAGGCAGGTTTTGATGGCAGGTGGCTGCATCCAGGACACAGACCATTCTTTCACCTCATCCTTTGGTCATTTTTGATGATGGCATCATTTCTTGGGGACAATGAGAATTTTTTTTGTAGGAAAGAATATACATAAGCATATACTGTCTGAATTTGAAGAATGGTTGGACAGTTCTACATTTTAAAATCCTACCTTGAATGTATTTTCTTTAAGTAGCAGTGATGTAGGTTCTGTTATGATTTAAAGCTCCAAGTTTGTGATAATCAATTATAACCTTTATAATAGTCTTTCTCACAGGGAAAGAGACAGATTTTTAAAACTACAAGATTATATAATTCTAGAAAACTCATTCTCAAACTGTTTCTTCTTTGATTCAATACATTTTTCAGACTTACTGCTTTGTGAATTATTCTATATCCCCAAATGTTATGTTCCTCTATTTATAATTTTAAAAGCCTTATTTGAAATGATAATCCATAAACTCATCCTATGAAGAGAAAAGAGAGAAGTAGGTCTGTAAGTAATATTTCTGGGCTCTGAAGAAGATTATAGTTTTAGGTTTTATGAGGAATCTTACCCAAAATATGGTAGCAGTTGGTTTTGGAGAGAAGGAGACAAAAACCAAAATATTCTGTCTATAAAATTAAAATCAATTTCAGATTTGGGACCACAAGATGCACAGGGCACCAAGGGTAGAGGAGCCACAACAATCACAGAGCAGGAGTCCCTAACCCCTGGGCTGCAGACAGGTACCAGTCTGTGGCCTATTAGGAAGCAGGCCACACAGCAGGAGGTGAACAGCAGGTGGGCGAGAATTACCACCTGAGCTCCCAGCTCCATGTCCTGTCAGATCAGCAGTGGCATGAGATTCTCACAGGAATGCAAACTCTATTGTGAACTGCGCATGCAAGGGGTCTAGATTGTCTAATCCTTATGAGAATCTAATGCCTAATGATCTGAGGTGGAACAGTTTTATCCTGAAACTATACCCCTTCACCCCACCTGGCTTTTGGAGGAAAAATTATTTCCATAAAACTGTCCTTGGTGCCAAAAAGATTGGGATTGCTGTTGTAGAGCTCAAATATCCACTTGGCCCATGAGGAGAATCAGGCCCAGAAAGGTGTGTGACTTAAACTCTGATCAGCCTCGGACCTCACCCACTACCCTAGGCAGTCACTTCAGAGTGGTCTCCGTCATCCCTAACTTCCCTCCAAAACAACAGTGATGACAAAAGCCCTGGCCCATGATATGGAAAACAAGGACCAGCAGGTTGCTAGACTATATATTGTAGGAGTGTCCTTTAGTTATAGGGAATTTGGCGTTGGCTTGAAAAAATAGCCCATGCCTTCCCCAGACAATGCCACATGAAGATGCATTGTCATGGCCACCTTTGAGAGAAGGCTGGAAAATACTTCATCTGTCTAACCTCTCCATCTCCTGACTCAGAGATTCAGAATTTGTACCTATGTAGAAATGGACAGCTCTTCACTGAGATAAATCCTTTGAGGGCAAGATACAGGGATTCTAATATATTCTGTGGGGTCAGAAAAGACTTCCTTCTAGGTTATGATCTTCATATTCAATAGAAATTTTATAAAGTAAGTGCTTGTAACTCCTCTGCAAAAAGGAAGGGCTAACTTTTTTTTAAAAGTACTCAGAGTTATTTCTTTGTGCATGACATAAATATTAACCCAGATCTGATATTCAACGTCAGTAACCTACATGTTCCTGAGAGGACCAATTGAGTTCAGAGACCTACTTAGAATTAAAGATCTGATCAGTGAATGAGCTGACTTGCTTTTAGGCATGGCCCTCCTCTTCCCACCTGTGAGATTTCCTGTCTGGGTGTATTTCCACTCCACCCCATTCCTTTAAACAGCCAGGAGCTTTCTTTAGGAGCAGCCAACACCTTCCAAAGGTCAATGTCCTCTAGTCTCAGAGAAGCTTCCCACAGCATTTTAACTAAACCAGAAAATGAAGCTGGACTTGATATTTCAAAAACAAAAGCATTGCAATAGGATATATCTTTATTTATTTATAGACGTGATTTGTCATTTGGTTTGCTCACCATCTTTATTTTGCTTTCTGAGACAAATGGCTAGATGTGATAGAAAATACCAGGCCATAAAAACAGAATATTTTGGAGAATGGAGTGGAGAAAGAGGTAAGTTAAACCCAGCAAGACCCACAAAAATAGCATTGTTTCTTCTGCAATGTGATGATCTTTATTTTTCCACCTTTATTTTTGTATGATAATTTATGATTTTCCAAGTGTTATAGATATTTCCATCCAACTTTTATAGATAAGTTGATGGAAAGTCAGAAAACTTGATTGGACAGAATGGGAATTACTAATATTTCCAGTTCCCAGACCCTGCTCTTTCCAATAAACCCTGCTGCAAGGCTTGACATTTGCAAGAAAGAGAAAGAGCATATCCATCGTGCACTGTTAAAACTACTACCAAATTGGAAGCCTATCCCTTGTTGAGTGAGAAAGAATCTTTATCAAACACAAAGTTACTCATTTGTGTCTACATTGACACTTCTGTTGTCACCAAATACTTATTTTATATAATTGTCCTTTTGAGAGCCATCTGTTTCTAAGGTAGAACTCAAAATAATTACAAAATATGCTTATACATTCCTTTTGTCCATAAGAGTAACTATATTTACAGTAGTTCTTTGAAGTATAAGAAACCTAACATAAAGATAGCCAAATTTAATTTTTATTCTTAAAGAATTAGAGATATTAAAGAAAGATGGCAGATTCAGTATTTGTATGAATCCTACCAGTCTTCTAAAAGTTCCATGGAAGAAATAACAATAAAAAATACTTAAGGAACAAAATAAAGTTATAAATGCTTAGAAAGACCATCAAAAATGTCATCAGTGAATCAGAAATGCGAAAGAATCACAAAGACAGACATAAGTAAGATGTGATCACTGGGGAAATTAAGCCACAGAAAACCATGGCTCTGAATATTTGCAGAGAGGACTGGCATGGATGTAAGCTAATAAATGCAGCTTCAAGTTGAGAGTGAAGAGTTATAGCAAGTTGACATTTAGGATGAGGGTAGATTCCTTCACCCTCTTCCTATTGGGCTAATAAGTAAGAAGCGGTAATATTGGCCACAGGACAAAGCTTTGTGGTGGGCAGCAGGAA